CGTAAGTCAGCGAGTAGGCTGTGTGTTGAGCTATAAATAACCTATTAAATAGGAAACTCGGATTGCACGCTCGCAATGGCAATGTGAATACAATTAAAAGGATGGGTGTATATACTGGTAATTGCATTTAATCAAGAAGGAATGTAAAAAATTTTATTAATTTCTAAATCACTGTTAACATTATTTCTTGGAGTATTAACTCCCAATACTCATATTATCACTATTCCCTGTAGTGTTAATTTCATTATTTGTACCATTATCATTATCTGGATTATTTTCAGTGGAAGTTGGTGCATTATCTTCATTGTCCTCATTTACCTGCTGAGTATTTGTAGCATCTGCATAAGGTGGAGGCTGGAGATCAGGTATATTAGTATTAGATGTATTGTTATCCACTGGCGGTGTAGGTGAATTATGATGTGGTGATAATGATCATCTTCAGCTTTGTCTTCGGCTTCTATCATTGGTAGATGTTCTTTGGTTTCTATTATTAGGAGATGTTTGATTCGAAATATTTCTGCTACGGATTCTATCGAACTCATCGTCAACTTTTTCCCAGAAATGTGTTTGAAATTCATTATAATATAGTGTACCATTCTGGGTTCTTTGTCCTTTTTCAGCACCATCCAGAAAATCACACATTAGCTGATCACATAGAGGTATATTATATGACAGGTAAGTGACATTGCAATAAATTCCATGATCAGAAAATTTTAGCCAGGTTTAACCAAAAAATATGCAATAACTTACATTATACATATGTAAACTCAATAAGTCGGTCACTTGATAAGTCGGTTTTAGCCTAACTCAGCCAAACATTTTTGCCCCGTTTTTTTACTATTTAAAAAATTCAATAAGTTGGTCAATCTATATAAAGTCGCAATAAGCGCTAAGTCAGTCAATCACTTAGCCCAAGTATAATTAAATGAATTGCAATAAGTCAGTCTCACGTGATATCTCATTATGTAAAGGGTCATCATTACTATTTTAGTAATGTATGATCTAATAATTTTTATTCGTAATACAGTGCGGATCATCTATACTCAAAAGTTAAAATTTTTGAAATATTATGTGATCCACATTGGATTTTAAAAAACTTACCACCATTCAATTCAGCTTTAAAAGGGGAGTCTATTAATCTAAAAAAAAATTTG